TTTGCCACAGTTACCACATATAAAACCAATTGTCCATGAGTCTTTTCCAGCTGACTATCCATAAGTCCTAGTAAAAAAAAATCTTGCTTCAACTGAAAGTTAAGTTTTGAAACTCTCTGCATCATCATATATATTTGTGTTCAATATTTTTTTGCTTTTTCACAAGTCCACCATGCATGGTAAAATGTCATTTTAATTTTCACAAGTCCACCATGCAATTACATGATCATCATTTGTACATAATTATCTTTCAAATTCTGTTACATATTATTCTATACGTGGTGACTTTCTATCCATATTAAACCTCTCCCCTACTGTAACTGTGCATATGAAAACCACTGAAAAGTAAACCCTTCTGCAGTAAATTGTTCTCTTGATTTCATCTTGTTCTCCATTTTCCTTGTACTAACAAATCTTTATATCTTAACCATTTTTCTTTGCCCGCTGTTTCTTTTCTATAAAATTATTCTTGAGCCTATATCTTTCAGTGGCTTTTGATACCACTGATCATGGGATCCTTCTAAACCACTTGTGGGGGATGTGGATTGGTGGCAATGTTTTACAGCAGTTTTATTCATACTCCAGTGGGTAATTCCAGTATGTGACAGTGGCGATGGAGAGCTTGGCCTTGTGGCCATTCCAATATGGAGTGCCATGGGGTGACTTCTCTTCTCCTTGAGATTTAAAGTCTACATGGAGCTGCTGGGAGAATAGTACAGGTTATGATATCATCAATATGCTGAAAATACTCAGCTTTATATTGCCACTTAGAGCACAGCTGGAAATGCTGTCATGGGCTTGTCCTGGTGCCTAGAGGTTGTCAGGGACTGAGTGGGAAGAAACAAGATAAAATTGAAACCCAGTCAAGATGGAACTATGATTTCTTCACCACAAGTCTCAGCTCCTGAAGAGTTATGGTTCCTACTAGATGGGCAGGGTGGAGGCAGTGGCTAAGAAGGCTTTGCTCAACTTGACTGGTGTGCTAGCTGCAACCCTTTCTGGAGTAGGAAGATCTGCCACAGTGACTCATGAGCTTATCGATATATAGTTAGAATTTTGAAATGGGCTGTACATGGAAATGCCTTTGAAGACTATTCAGAAGTTGCAGTTGGTGCAAAATGCAGCAGACTTGTTGACTAACACTACTTGCTATAAGCACATTACACCTATCTTATGTGCCCTGCACTGATTATCAATGGGTTTCCCAGTGCAATTCAAAGTGTTGGTTGTAATTTATCAAGCCCTATATGGCTTGGCAGAACCCCAACTCCAACCAGTGCCAACCTCTCTGAAAAGATTTTCTAAGAGAAGCTGCTGGTGCTGCCCCATTTTAATGAGGTGAGGGCTGCTAAGGGTAGAAAGTATTGTTTTTCAGTCATGGTATCTATGGATTAGAACAGGTTCTCTCCAGAAATTAGACTCCTCCCCTCAGTAATGCCTTCCAGAAAGTAGGGAAGGTTGAACTCTTCTTGAGGACATTAGGATGTGACTGTTTGTCATCCTTATTATGTGTACATGATTTTTTAAACTGTGATTTTTGTTGGTTGTTTTGATTCTATGAGTTGCTTTGGATGTTCTGATGCTGTTGGAGTTGTGGGTAAAATTTAATTATTCATTTTCCTTACCAGAAATAAGTGGATAAATAATAGGAGGAGAAGGGGTCAAAAATCTGAAATGTGTATATTTTGTGTACAGAATTTGGAATCAATATTAATCAATATTGCCTAATCACATAACGATGGTACCAGAATTCTGAACAGGTCTTTCCAAAGCCTACCTGGGTATCAAAACTGAGATTTTCTACATGCAAAGTATGTGCTCTGTTACTATGATTAGCCTTGACTCTACTGACACACAAGGATGTTCATGCAATACCCCCAGGCAGCTCTGGAGATTACATCCTGTGCAGAATTCTGGAAAGTGAGAGAGAGATAATCTTCAATATTAATCTGCAGTTAAAAGTACCAATTGTCTGAACTGTTATAAGGTGACTTTAGATGTGCAACTATCACAGGTGATTAATTACACATATTTCATAACTTTTCCTCCCACAGATCAATTTTTTTCTGTATAGAAAGCACTTTCAGGCCAACAAGCTGACTCACTGTGAACCCTGTTAGTTTTCCATTTACTTTTAGAAAAAGAATTACTTCACATACACACTGGGACTTTTAATGTACAAATGAAATATTAGCTTGCCAAGGAAGTACCAACATTTTATTTATTAATGAAATATATGCACTGCCTCAATCCAATAGGACTCTAGGCTGTTTACAGTATGCTTAATAAAATATAATAATAATACATCAATAAAATAAAAAAACTCAGCCTCACATCACTGGCTCTGGAATAAATTGTGAAAGGCCTTCCAAAAAAGCCTTATCTTTACAAGTTTGTGGAATGCCATAAAAATGGAGCCATTCTCTCCTTGGAGGTTAAGCTGTTCCACAGAAGTGAAGCCCTAAACTCTTTGACAACTGAAAATCACAACTAAGGCTGCAATCCTACATACTCTTATAGGGAATGAAGATCTTCTAAACAGAATCAAACTTAACACTCCATTGTAAAATAAGGAATGATCGATATAGCATCTCTACTAGCCTATATATTTATAAAAATGAGAGAGAAGCAGTATATACACTGGACAGGAGAAGCCTTGTGAAACTGTTGTATTAGGTATTAGTTTAACACTGCAAGTAAACTAAATATATTAGATATATATTATAATGAGTACCACCATTTAAAATAATATTATTAATGTTTCCTAATGTTTTTCAAATACACTTTTAAAATTTCTTAATCTGTTAAGATAGAAGCCATAAGACATGCAGCCCTTGAAAGTTACAATAACAAGAAAAAATTTGCAAAACTAGTGAATTCCTTGTATCAAAACCATATTTATTTTCTCTATTCCAGAAGATGTCCATTATTCTGCATCAAATTATTAAAAAAATGTGTGTCTGAACAATTTGATAATTAGACATTAATTATTTGTTACTATATTGTTCTGTTCACTTTAATTTGTTCTGTTCATTTAATCTGGAGATTGTTAACATGATTTGGGATTGTTCTTGAAAGTAATTTTTGTAAAGCTACTAATTTTAGAAGGAAGTATAAACCCCACTCCCTTCTAGCACTGAAGATGTTACCTAGCCAGGTAACAAAACATTTGTAAGAAAACAACCAAGCTCAAAGAACCCCAAGGACTCCACAACTCTACTAATTTTGTTATCCTTAAATAATTAGATACTGAATGTGGCAGGTATTTTGGCTGAAATACAGTGAACTTACAATCAAATATTATATCCAAGGATTCTGTCTTTTTCCTTGTAATTTATTCAAAAATAATTATGATTAAAGTAGACAAGTCTAAATTAAATTATACTAGTCAGACCAGTTCATCTTAAAGAAGCCTACAGTTTATGGTGAAAAGATATGGTGCCAATATCAAAAAATAGCAGTGTCAGGTCAAAACCCCTGTTAAATGCCCCAGCGATATAATCCTTTCAGGAGTTCTTTTTCTGATTTTATGAGAAATGTTCACTAAAACCATTATTATAGAAAGCAGCTATAAAAAGCAATGGAAAACTAACTTCACTTTCCACCTTTACTCTCTTTCTGGCAGTTAAATGTTTTGATAGCAACCCATATTTTCTAAATTCACCTTTTAATATAAAGCTATACATTCCAAGAAATTATTGTTAGATCAATTTTACTTTCAGTTAGGAGAAGGAACATAACTTGCACAAATCATAGTTTCAAACTTCTCATTGGTACACATTAGTCTGAACTCATAAATTGCATTAAAAGATGAGTTCGGTGCAGATAACCAAATAATCATTCCAGCACAAACTTGCACCTAATCATATCCTAAAGCAATAAATAAATATCTCTTCAGCTTAAGCTATTTTCTACTTTTAGATTTGAGAAATCTATAACAAAATGTGCTGTAAATATAGATCTAAAAGTATATATTCAACTTCAAAAAAACTACCATAGCTTGACAATCCAACTTAGACTTAGATCCAAACTTCAGTTTTGCCAGTACAGTGGAAATGAAAAAAGATATTTGTCTGTTCCCCCATTAGTCTTTACACTCCTTTGAAACACTATTCTGGAGAGCTGAGCGATCCCCATTTGTAAATTAGAATGAAAAATAATAATAACAGGATTACAAACTAAGAAATAGTAGAAAACCCCTTTCCAATTTCAGGATTTCTCTTCTGAAACAAAATTCTTAGGCGATAGAAAGACTGTTCCTTTCTATGGGCAATGAAGTCTGGAACCCAGAGTAAATAGTAAGTATAATAAACGGGTAACATAAAAATGTGGGCTCCCAGTGAAATGGCTATGCAGTCAAACAAAAATATGCCATCAGAGGTAGTTTCTTAAGAAGCTGTGAGTCTTTCAAAGATCATGGCTACATTAATACACAAAGGCGAGTGCCTTTGTGAAGCAGCTTAATACTTAAAAATAACCAATATTATTATTTTTTTCACTACTGATATATACATGGCAGACAGGGGAAGCAGACATACGTGTTTGGCAACACTGCTACCAGTGGTCAGATTATTTATTTTAAAGAGCAATCATTTTCTCCTAGAACATCACCCCATGTATCACAATGCTATATATGCCACTGACCTCGGCAATCATACTCAGATGTTCTGTTTAATTTTATTTACTCTAGCAAATCTACATAGTTTCCAGACATTTTACATTAATTCAGACCAGAATATAGAACATTTGATGCTGAAAATATGCAAAGTTTTCTGACATCTCTTATATAAAAAAGATATTTCATTTTGGTTCTCTTCTACTACCAGTTCTCAGGCTTAATCTGCCAATAACTAATTACAAAGTAAATTTGTCAAATGCAGGATTAAGTGCCACGCAAACCAATACTTATTCAATATTGTAAGATGTTACAAAACCACTGGAATTATATCCTGAAATGATTAGGGTTTGAATATAATTCATATATTGTTGCAATACAGTACCTCTGAAGTACTCTCATTGTTGATATCCACTGCATTTCCAGGGACTGCAGATGAATCAGAGTCAGAGCTCTGAGATCCAACTCTGCCTGGAGTCTGAAAAAAGAGAAAATATAGTGTATTATCCCTGTCAGAATGCCTTGCAGAAAGGCAAATAAAATAAACTTTCTTGATTCAGTATTGCAAATTTTCATGTAAAGAAGTCATTCAACAAAAATATCCATTGCCAATAACTGCTTCTCTTCACATGTATTTTCCTATAGGAAAATTCTATATAACAGTAATGTGCATGTACAGATTCACCATACAGGGTGAATCATAGCTATGATATTAAGACAACACCCTTTGACTACTTGCTAATCTAAATACACCAAGTGGCATTTTTAAACACATTTACTGAAAACTGAACTTTTTTCAAAAGCTTACTCAACATTCAGATCTTCCACCTGTCCTCTATATTTAATATATATTGTCAGATACCAGTTTCTAGGTTGGCAGCTATTCTACATTTTAGCAATCTCTTAAAAGAATAGTACAGCTGACTATGGTAAAATGTGTATCTTGGTCTTCAAGAAAATGGATTTTCATAAATAAAAAACAATTATAGCAGAAGAAATAATGGGAAAGAAACTCTAAATGGGTGGGTTTTAAAAGGAGAAACTAAAAGTATAATTATAAACAAGTCTAATAAGAAAATAGAGGACAGCAGAAAGAGCCAATGTGGCTATATAAAAATCTCTGTGAAAATATGAAAACCAAAACTTTTCCAACAAGAAGATAGATAGATAGATAGATAGATAGATAGATAGATAGATAGATCGATCGATCGATCGATCAATCACCAGGTAATTATGAAGAGAAGGATGAAAGGACAGGATTGAAGCTTGAGAGTCATAGAAACATGGTAAAGGAATACTTATTTACTTTCAAAACGTTTACATCTCCAGGTTCAAATGAACTTGTTGATGGATTGAACTTTGAGAAATCCTGGAGAACAGCTGATATGCCAGATGACTAAATAAAGAAAAAGGTTGCCCCTAACTTCAAAAAGTGGGAAGGGAGGATTCTGGAAACCACAGACCTGTCAAAACACAGCCTGGAAAATTTAGAACAGATCACACCACCAATTTGTAAGCACCTTGAAAACAATGCAGTAATTACTAAAAAATCAGCAGAGATTTGTCAAGAACAATTTGTGTTCAGACTGCTATATGAAGGTCTCTTGTAGATTCTGCCCATCCTGTACAATCAGACAGTTGGCATACTCTGGGTCCCATTGATTAAACAATGTCATCTGATTGGACCCAGGAAGCAGGCCTTTTCTATCACCCTACCTGACCTATGGAATAGCATCCCCAAAGATCTGTATGGCCCCTAATCTGACCTTATTCAAACAAACTCTTTAAACCCCTCCCTCCCCATGCCACCCAGCTCAGGGAAATATTTTGTTTAACATAATATGTTGTTTTGAGCCTTCTGATGTTCACTTTATTTTCTGTTTTTTATTGTTCTAATCTGTTTTTAAATATTGTATGCCACCCAGAGTTGCTATGGAGTAGGATAGCTTTATAAATTAATTTGATAAATAAATAAATGAATAAACAAGCCTTGTCAGAAAAACTTCATCCCATTTTTTAATCAGTTCACTTTATTAGTCCTTGTGGGAATACTATATATTTACTGCCAACTGAATATTAGTCACAATGTGGCTGCAAAAGCAGGAAATACAATTTTAGGCAGCAATAACAGAAATACTTTCTGAATTACAGAAAGTAATGTAGTTCCTTTGTTGGCCCTACCCTGTTTTTACACTATCAGAAGGGCAATCGTAATCCTTTCTTAAACTTAAATTCAATACCTAAATAGAGATGAATACACAAAGGGAATTTATACTGAGTCCCAGAATGTCTATGAAGCTAAGTATTATTTTCTAACTCTTCAAGGTCACTAGTACAGACCTAGATCTTTCCTAGCTCTTCTATCAAAGATTCCTTAACTGAAAATGCCAATGTGAAAGAAATTACCACTGGAGTTTAAGCAAACCAGATCTTTATTACAGTCAACAAGGAAAATTAATACGTACTTACCTAGATATTTTAATATAAGTTAATTTTTGTGCTAGAAACGTTTTTGTTACAGGTAGTTTTTGGGTAACGATGGTAATTGGGACCAGGAACTCCTTGTGGGAGAGTTGGGCGGTGATATAAATTTGACATACAAATAAATAAACAAACAAACAAACAAATTCTGTTGCTAAGCACATCACATGACCATCCCAACTTACGATGGCAGTTCCAGTTGCAGTCATTCGGCAAATCCCACATAGTCATTAGGCGCAACGTCACGTGATCACCATTTGCGATCTCCTGCCAGCTTCCCCACTGACTTCGCTTGTCGGAAGCTGGCAGCAAAGGTTGCAAATGGCGATCACATGGCTGCGGGATACTGCAACAGTTGTAATCGTGAGCCACTTGCCAAGCACCTGAATCATGATCACGAGACTGCAGGGATGCTGCGATGGCTACAACTTGAAGGAGCGGCCATTATTCTCCTCATTCAGCACTGTCGTAATCTCCAATAGTTGCTGAACGAATGGTCGTTAACCAAGGACTACCTGTATTGTATGAGTGTTTTTACTAGTAGTTTGTAAGTTTGCCAGACCTATTAAGAGAGTGAGCAATCTCACCAGATGCCATATATGGAATAGGATATATATTAAATGAAACAGTTATCAAGATATGAAAAAAATAAGATAAATATAAGCAGCAAGAACAGTTACAAGACAGGTGCAAACTTGATCCACCAGGCAGATATTTGACAACACTGGAATACAATATTTATTCTTCTGCTTGGATTTATGAAACTACAGAAAACCAAAAAGTGAAATTAGAATATCTTTCACATAATTTATATAGTAGAAAAATCACTTTTATGATGTTTCTTCTAGCATCTCAGTGTTCATCAATGGTGGTAAGACAGGTGACAAATGATAATAAGACACAAAGTGCACATAATGTGAGTTAAAGAAACCAATACAGTTTCATATTCTGGGACTACACAGGAACGTGAATCATGCCATCTGCATTGGCAGCCCTCAAAAAGAGAGGGGCACAAATAGTCACACAGCAGAAGTAACTTCTTTCTCACCTGATTCTAGAAGAATCTTCCCATAGGGGTCCATAAGGGGAGAGGGTTGGGGGGGGCTAACTGACAAAACTTCTATTATGACATAACAAGCAAACCTTGCAACTAAGGCACTTGCATCAGACGTTGGGACTCAAGTAGATTAGGGTTTGTCTTGTGAAGTTACAACTCGCATTCCATCATTATGGCTTTCTGAGGATGCCTATCAATGTTCAAATTCCCTCTGTGACAGAGTGCATATGTATAGAATTTCAAAAATTGATTTTTGATTATATAGTAAGGAAGTGTTTCTGTATTTAGCTGTGTAAAATTTTAAGGGACAAGACAGAGAGCGTGATGGGTATCCACACATCTGGGGTCCTATCTTCCCAGCAGCTCAACTATAACAATACAATCTACATGTTACTTACATATACAATCTCACAAGCCACAGTGATGGACATTCCATCCACTCTATCATCTGTTCTGTATGAATATTTGCCAACATTCCCTATCTTCATTTTTTTTTTTTTTTACTCTTATGCCTCCCCTGCTTCATAGTCCATTTACAGCAGCAAAATGGTCTTGTATAGAATCCATCTATTGTCAAAAATACAGGTACCTCTGTTTTGCCATCAATTATATCTGAACAGGACCTTCCCCAGAGAGAAGTGTGCAATACCAGAAGCCACATGAACCAAATGTGCAACAGCTCCTACAACTTTACAGAGATCTAATCTCCCGCTGTGCTGAATATAACGCAGGCACGGCTAACACCCTCAACAGAAAGGAGAAGCCAACCGTGGCTAACTCCGCAGGCCTTACACCAACATTCACAGCACCGAGCCCAGAGGCCCCTCAAAGTCCACTCCAACCTTCATTTCACTCTCCCCTTTTTCCCCTATCCAAGATGGAGTCCCACAACTTCTCCCACACCCCCGCCTCCCTAGTCCAAGCTTATGAACGATCCCATGAGAGCCTAATGTCGCCAGCCCTCCTCCACACACCTCCACGCCTCTTCTTCGGGACCACTCTAGCCTTCCCGTCCCTGAGGGACCCTTTGCTCCCAGGCTTCCCTCCCATCTTCTGCCACGGAGAGCCAGAAAAAGAGGCCTAACAGGGCAGGCACCCACCGCGCGCGGCCGCTCGCTGGGAAGAAAGAGGG